ATGCTGTTATGAAATTTTTTAGTAAAACTTACTCCTCTGTGAAATTTTATCGCATAACGCTTAGAGGTTTGTGTTTTGTTTAAAGAATCGCATGCAGGTAAAATTAATAATATTATTTGTTTGCCCCAACTCTTGAATAGTAAAATAGCAAGCGGCTAGGAATTAATGTATATTTTAAATATAGATTAATTCATTCTTTATAACAAAACTTTATGGATGGAATAATAGCTTTTGCTGATGATGTTGCTACCTCATACAGGAGTAAAATATATTTTTTTTTGTTATTCGGCAATTATATCACCCAAATTTGTATTGTTCTCGTTCGATTTTGCTTTAGTATGCAAGCGACTTTTAAAGATAGTTGTTTTGATATTGAGGACACTTTTAGGAATTTGTGTGTCACTTCGTGGATTCGAGATTCAATTGGAATATCCAGTATAATGCTACTTGAACATAGTTATTCGTAAATTATATCACCTAAAATTGTACTGTGCCCGTTCGATTTCAGCTTTGGAAAACACCGGGTTTTTTAGTCTAAGTTGCAACATGGTCTGTGTTGTTGTGGTGGTACACATTTCAGTATACTGCAACCCTTATTAATTTTACGTAAACATGCTGTTCGTTTTATATGCAAGTGCAGTAGACGTCCGTCTAGCTTTCATTCATTGAAACAACTTGGTCTGCTTCCTTCACGAAATTTGTACTTTTACAAGGTATTGGTAAAGTTCTTTAAGGACTTTTTCCACTGGAACTTATGCAAACTACACTTTGCGTTTTAATTCTAGTCACCTGGTAACGGTACTCAGAAGCTGTCTCACTGTGATAATTTTTATTTATCAACGGCTCTACGGTTGTTTAATAGTTTACCCTTTGAAGACAGATGTGAAATGAGACTAGGATCTGTTATTAAGCTTCTTAAGAATTGGTTCTGTGCTTCTAAGCATGACTCAACTGAATCTATTCTGGTTCTAGTAATTTGATGCTTATTTTTAATATAACTATTATTTTACAATTTTGAATATTATTATAATATCAATTTATTTTTAATTTGTCTTGTATTCATTATCACTATTTTTAATTTCAATTTATTTGGTACACAATGTTTTTCAAATATTTTCAAATTTTTACATTGCGGTGGTGTGTTCAACTCATTTCCTTTTGATATTAAAGTTCTGCTAACTGTTTTCATCTAAATGTTAAGTCTAGTTTTAGTTTTGTAGAATACATAAATTTTATGAATTTGTAGTTATCTTGAATTTTTATATATTTTATATTTGCAAGTCTATTTTGAATTCTGTTTGTTCGTACATTACTTACTAGTTTAAGTTAATGAAAATAAGGTTTGATTATTATTATTAATATTATAATTATTGTTAAAATATGAAATCCCAAACGGTTTATCGGATTGGAATTTTTAACCATGATTTCATTTATCTGTTGTACAATGTTCCTGTTAACTCACCTACTGATTCAGTATTTTGGTTCAGGATTTACGAAAATTATGCAATACGATTTCTAATAATCCAACTCATTTTACAGAGCACTTTCTGCATTTTGTTGTTGATGTTAATAATAAATTTTGTCTCGTGAGCAACAATATTTTGCAAAAAACTTGTTCCCTTCCCTTATACATCAGTGTTCATTGGCTAACCATTTTTCAAACTTTACTCGGGAAATTATTGATCTTACAAAGCTGCTGAAGCCTGCTCTGTTTGGTAGCGTAGAGACGGGCTAACAAGGATTCATTTTACCGTACTTCCTGTAATGAAGCTACACTCCTTGTAGATAGGCTAAAGCTACGAATTATGTGGTTAGGCATTCCCACGGATCTAAGAGTTTTTGAAGCAGCGTAAAAAAATTGGGTTAAAAGGCGTTTCTAGGGAAAAATCTATGCTTCTTCTTCTTGTTACATACGTGGATACCAATTCGAAGACGTGATAAAATCCTGTGGGTTTCGATTAAAACTTGATTAAAGTCATTAGAATTCCGATCTTAACCCGCTTTTTACTGCTCTTGTTTCAGCTTCCTCTTTTCTCACTGGTTGTGAATACTCAAATAACATTTCTATTCCCAAACAGAATGATCCCATTCTTAATTGTCTTCGGCCTATAGGCAGTAGTATGTCTCAGACAAATTTAATAGATGAAAATTGAAACTATTGAAAGTATTTGTAAGAATAACGTTTGAACTTTTTCAACGTATGTTTCATCAAATTTTTTGACTGTATCATTGAAAAAGTTTTTCTTACAAATAAGCTTAAGAGGATTAGTTCTACAGTATATCATATAGCCCGTCAATCAGCTCAGAAAAGGAACTTATCATTCTTCATGAGTAAAACTTTTGTATAGAAAAGCCTTCCATTATACATTAGGAGAAAAAACAATTGCTGTAGAAAATTGCAGGCCTATTTTTTGACGAATTAATTATTTGTTCGGTGATATTTGTTTTCTCTTGGTACTTAATTGTAAAATTTTGATTTTTTTTCGTTTTCTAATATTTTCTAAGCAAAATTACTTTCTTTATTTTCTATTTTTTATCCTTTTTCTCTTTCTTTTTTTTACTACATTTTCACTTTCAACTTTATTTTAATTTAACTTAAGTATAGGTTAGTGCTTTTATAATTATTCTTTCTTTTATTTTATGCTAATGTATATTATAACTAACAGATTTTTGAAATAAATAAAAATATGAAGCTTAGCCTTTTCTTAAAGCTTTCTTAAATTTTGAAAGCTTGCAAACTGAACGTATGAACTAACGTATGAAACAATTGTTTCATACGATAAACTACCTTTATTTTAATCCTTTTTATAATAGGGACTGCAAGTAATTGAACTCCAATATGAAACTTGTTTAGCCACTTTAATAACAAACTATTGAGTTTTATTTATTGCCTAATTAATATGGTTTATAAAGTTCAATATCTTATATATTATACAGCTTTTTTAACACTAATCAAGTCATAATTTGTAGTTATATGAACTTCGTATAATATAATAGAAAAAATCTGATGTGGTCAGCACATAACTGACCGCATTGTATATTGTCTAGTTAAGCGAAAGGGTTACAGAATATTATAAAAATGTCTTTTAAATACTTCTTCCCAATTTTTAGGACATTAGTAAACTTATAGTTAACATGCCTAGAAAAATGTAAATTTTGGCTCTTAGTAGAGTTTCGCTTTGCGCTACTCGAATTTCCTGAAATGCTCGCCAGTTAGTTTCGGTAACAACCAGAACTCAAATATCAAATTGCAAGAAATTCCATCAATTCGTTCCGTAGATATGGTGAAAAATGTAAAATCGGCCCGCAAATCAGTTTTCGAGCCCTGATCTTTCCAAAAAATTTATATGTTCATTGCTTTAATATGAGGAATTCATATATTAAATTTCAATGAAATCGGTTGATTATTTTTCTTTATATACGCAAAAATGTACATTTGGCCCGTAGTAAACGTCCAGTTGCTGATGCCTGAATTCTTTCAAAAGTTAGCAATTTTTGCGGACGATCGAGCAAAGCTCATATATGAAATTTCAATAAATCTGATGAATACTTTCTTCAAAATGTTCAAAAATGTAAAACAGGCCCGCTAAAAAGTGCAGTTCCTGATGCCTGATATATTCCAAAAGTTGATCAATCCGTGCCATGGTGGAAATAAATTTACATATAAAATTTCATCAAAATCGGTTCAGCAGAACTTGAGATACACGCGTCCACACACAGACCGACAGACCAACAGACCGACAGACCGATTGCCCGACAGGTTGCTAAAAATAGTTTACTTACACTTCCCTACTATGGAGAAGTGCATTCCCACCGAAAACTCGATATGCAAAATTTGTTGCTATCACATAACCTACCTGTTGTTTACACAATACGGTCGGTAAATATGTACTAAAATATTAGATATATACTAATATAAATAAAGAACTAAAAGAAACAGACAAGTAATATTTTAAAATTCAAACAGACAGTGTCTTATATGTTATTTCAAAATTAATAACAAAACTTTAAGATATAGCAAACACTCTCAAATAAAATAATAACCCGCCCATATGTATATAAATATCATACAAGCACGTACATATTAATATGTGTTTCAATTATGTACATTTTTTTACTTCCACGTGTTTTATTCATTTTTAGTTATATTTGAATTTAAATAAAATTATGACGAATAAAAATGGCCCATTTTATTGCTATTTCTCTTCGTAAAACAACACTTCACTACTTAGCACAGTACATAATATTTTTGTGCTGGCAAGCGCACATCCTTTTTTATTTACTCTCACATAATGGGATGGGTTTTCATATATATGTATGACAAAAATCAAGTAATTGAGTATTAAGATTTGTTTATGTTTCTTTTATTTTTTTAGTAAATGTCTTTATTTATAATAGCATTATTGTACTTTATTTTTATATTACGAATATGCCGAAAATATGCGATGCACAGCACATAAGTTAATTGTATACATTGAAGCAAAGACCATAAATTAAATTTGCAATGTATTTTTGTTTTTTTAATACAAACAGAGGAAGCAACGAATGTTTAATAAGTTTATGTATACAAACAAATAAAGTCAAGACGAATAAATTTTTTCGAACTGCGCGTGTTCAAATATTCAGCAGAGTACATCTATTTTGAATGAATAAATATTATTATAGATCAATAGTATTTTGTAAACGTTTACATACTGAAACTCAGTTCCGTGAAATATCGTGGATTGCGAAACTTGTGCCAAAAAAACATATCTATTTTGTTACGGCAAGTGTATTTACAATCTAGCTAATAATTATAATATTATAAAAGAAAGTTTTATTCATAAGTCGATTTTTTCATAATCAAATAATTAATAGTTCAGTAATTTGTATGACACATTTTAAAAGCAGTGAATTATGTATTTCTAAAATTCATAAAAGAAAAATTTATTTTTATTCAATTTATTTTGCAATTTTAACTAAGAAACTTTGTTTGATTCAATTATAATAATTAAAAAACAATGTCTACAGCATTTTTGGTAGATAATATTTTAAATGATAAAAATGATAATGCAGACTTAATATTATCAGATTGTGAAGAATCAAGGGATACAACTAGCTCATTAGACTCAAAATATTCAGTTTCCACATATTCCCCAACTAACGTTAAAAATAATAATAACAATACAACATTACATGATGATAACAATAACTTATCTGCGAGCTCATCACCAGATGTTGAGGAAATTTTAAACTATTCTGATCAAGATATGAATGATAATTTGTTTGACGAATCTACATTAGAAAAACAAAAGAAACATTCTAAATATGATTTAAATCAATTTAATATGAAAAAAATGACTGTTGATAACATTTCAGACAGTGAGAAGCTTTTGAAGAATATCCGGGAGTATAACATGTACCTGCCATCAATTAAAAAAAACAACAATGATATAAGTAATGCTAAGAATAATAACAATAATAATAATAATAATAATAATAATAATAATAATAATAATAATAATAATAATAATAATAATAATAATAATAGTAATAATAAAAATAATAATAATAACATTAATAATAATTATAATAAAAATAATAAGAATAATAATAATAATAATAATAATAATAATAATAATAATAATAATAATAATAATAATAATAATAATAATAATAATAATAATAATAATAATAATAATAATAATAATAATAATAATAATTATGATAATAATAATAATAGTAATAACAATAATATTAATAATATTAATAATAATAATAACAATAATAATAATAATAATAATGATAGTAATAATAATAATAATTATAATAATAACAATTTTAATGATAATAGCAATAATAATTCCAATAATAATAATAATACTAGTGGCAGCAACAATTGTGGAAGTTTCAATAACAACAATTTATATAAAAGACAATATTCTTCATTATCACCCTTAAATTCAATTAGCAACAACACTAGCATAATTTTAAAAAATTTTCAAAAAACTAATGAATTATGTTGTAGTGACTGTGGAAATTTTTATGCGTTAACCAACACAAATACTAAAAATATTTTAAAAAATAATATTGATAAAAAATTAAATGAATTTAAATGTGATAAATGCTGTAGCGTTGTTGTTGATAGTGACGATAATATGACAATGATTTGTGATTTAAACACAAAAGAAACAACATTATTAAAGGATACTCAAATATCAAAACCGATTTTAAAATTTAGCGTATCGGCAATATTAGGTGATACAAAAGATGGCGTTAAAATGAGAAATGGTAATTTCCTCTTAAAAACAAATGAATCAGGTTAGGCATTTCGTAATTAATCAATAATAATCAAGCCAACCAGTCAAATATATTGTTTATTTTATTAGATGCGTCTCTTAATTTAGGAAGCAAAATATATAAAAAACTAAAGCTTTATGTTGTTTAGTATTGTGCAATTTTTATTGACAAATTGGGCGGTTCAAAAGGAACAATAAAACAAATAAAGTTGGGTCAAACCAATGGTTTGTATTGTAGCACTTTTCCTTTCAACAAATGAAAATTCTGCTTTTAAATACAGTCTATGTATACCTATCACACTATTAAAATTATTTTCATTCATTTACAAAACTATTTCTAGGATTGCATATATTTAGGATGAGCGATTTACGCAGTCTTTGAAATAAAGCAAAAATTAATATAAAGTGGGGTTAACATAATGCTCGATTTTAAAGGTTAATTGTGTGAGTTAAGAAAAATAATTATATTTTTTAATGTCATGGAATTTACCGTTAGCTTTTTGCGTTTATAGAAATTTGAAAAAGCTTGTGGTTTCGGAATTATAAGGTGTCAAAAATTCAAATTTTACAAATATCAAGAGGCGATAACTTGAGAGGGGGTGGACATGGAAAAAAATTTTCTTTTAACGAAATGAACTATTGGTTAATGTCTAAAAGTTTCTGAAATTTAAAGCTTGCACAGGCTGGGGTCTAGAAGAAAAACGACATCAAAAATTTGGAAAAAACGGACCTTAGATAACGGTAAATTTGAACGGTCATTTTATTTTTATAAAGTTTAACTATAGTATACCGCGCTAGGGGAAGCAAGCAGCTGCTTTTTTGTGTTTGCAAAATTTGAAAAATGCTTATGGTTTCATTGCAACAAATAGTTGAAAAAGGCCATTTTTAGGGTTTTGGGGGGCTATAACTTCAGAGGGGGGAGATAGGTAAAAATTTTGTTCTACGAAAATAAGTTTCTATTAAAGATATATGTGCGTATTAAATTTCAGCTTTCTATCTTCAAGGATGTAGAAGTTTTGTAAACAAAAAGAGTGTCCACGGACGGACGGACAGAGTGAAACTAATAAGCACTTTTTTTCAAAAAATTTTTGGAAAAGTGCTAAAAATTTATTTTGATTAAGCTTTTAAAATTGTGGCAACCCTTTATTGTTGTTTGCCTACTTTCTTATGTTCCAACACCAAATTCATCTATTTATACTTCATTGAATTATTTCAGTTACATGTAACTGTATGAAGTCATAAAATTTTGATGATGTGTCTATTTAGACAAAAATTAACAAGACGTAATTCACTTAAAATCAATAAATACTAAGCCTCGAAGGTTGTTTTAAAAAGCTTGATTAGAAAATAACTTAGTTATTTTTTGACCACGTCGAAGTATAAGTTAAAATATACTTCAAAGTTGTATAAGTTAAAATTAAAAAGACTTGCGAAGAAGTTAAATAATAGTTCTGGCTGAGAAAAAAGGTTCATGTTTATAAGTTTGTCCTTATTACTTTTTAATAAGATGACTGAGTTAAAATTTAATACGATCTCGTGAAAGGACCTTATAGCGTTGTTTTCCGTTTGTACATACATATTTGAATTTTATTTAATTTTAATATTGATTAATTTTTTTCGAAAGATTCTGTTTTTGAGCAACTAGTTTTTGGTCAATAATAATGCCCAATAGTATAGCTAACCATATGGTACTCAGTCTGGATTTAGATTAAATAATGTCGCTATTTTAACTGTATTCTTGAATTCATTTTTTCCCATGGAAAACAAATAATGAGAAATGGTCCAAAACATAAAAATATATTAACAAATTATCCTAATCAAAATTACATAAAAAGCACGCAAAACAAACCCCAAAAAACAATTTAATGCAGTTTAATTTTTTCACGAATTTCCATAAAAAATTTAAGCCTGAAGATATCAAAAGGATATGTTGGATTAGTTGTAGCTGAGAAGGCAATAAAGTAATGTGGTATTGCAAACTGTTTACTTATTTCAAATTCTAATTAAAAACTAAACGATTAACTGAAATTTATGTAAGGAATCCATGTAAATGTATTACTACTGCAGATACAAAGCGAAACTTTACTAAGAGCCAAATTTAAATTTTTCCAGCTATGTTAACTAAAAGCTTACTAACACCCTAAAAATTTAAAAGAAGTGTTTAAAAGGAATTTTTATAATCTTCTGTAACATTTTCACTTAACTAGACAATGCACATTGCGGTCGGTTGTGTGATGATGACATCAAATAGCCTTTTTGTGTTCTTCTTAGCACTTCTCCAACAAATTTTTGAAAAAAGTGTTTTAGTTTCAGTCCGTCCGTTTATCCGTGTGTCTGTTTACAAAACTTCTACACCCTTGAAGAAAGAAACCTGAAATTTTATATGTACATACATCTTTACTAGAAACTAATTTTCGTAAAACATAATTTTTAGCTATCTCCACTCCTCTAAAAGATATAAACTTTCTAAACACTATATGAAGAACTATATGCGTTTTTCAAATTTTACAAATGCAGAAAAGCAGTGGGTTGCTTCTTCTATTTAAAAAAGCAAAATGGCCGTTAAAATTTACCGTTAGATAAAATCTGTTTTTTCCAAATTTTTGATGTCTTTTTTCTTCTAGACCCCAGGTTGTGGGAGCCTGATATTTTAGTAGCTTTAGCACTAACAAATAGTTCATTTCGTTAGAAAAAAATTTTTTCCAGCTCCGAACCCCTCTCATAACTTCGCCTTTTGAAATTTATAAAATTTGAATTTTTGACTCCTTATATTTCCGAAACCGCAAGCTTTAATTTCTATAAACGCAGAAAGCTAACGGTAAACTCCATGATATTAAAAAATATAATTACTTTTTTTTAACTCACGTAAGTAACCATTAAAAACAAGCATTGTGTTGACCCCTCTTTAAAATAATTTTTTCTTTGTTTCAAAAACTGCATAAATTGTTCATCCTAAAAATTTGCGATCCTAGAAATATGTAATTTTCGTATGTGAATGAAAAAAATTTTAATATAAGTATGGTATACATCGATTGTTTTTCAAATCAGTATTTTCAGTTGTTGAAGCGAAAAGTTCTACAATACAAACTGTTGGTTTGACCAAACTTCAAAATTTTGAATTAATATTTGTTTTCTCTGTGAAAAATGAATTGGTTTTTGGGGTGCGAAAGTACATTTTCACGTTGGAAACAGTGCTGTACATCTAAAGGTTAAGAATCATTGATTTGAGATTATATGAAATTAAATTTTTTTTCATGTTTATTTTTCGATAACTATTAAATTAAAAACAAAACTTAAGAAGTTCTACAAACCCTCGGTTATATGATATTACGAATACTGCATCATTGAATTGTTTCTAAATAAGTATGAACAAAGTTCAACAATAATTTTGCACGTATTTTGTAGCAAAAAATATACCTTAATCTAGTTTTGGACAATTTATTGCGAGTTATGAAATATTTTATTTTCAAAGCAGAAATATGACCATCGAAAAGGTTTACAGTCACATTAGATATGCGTTTTTTTTAGCGTTTTTAGTGTGTTTTTAGTGCAAAACTCTTATTTTGTGTTACAAAAAACTTTATTTTAATTTTCTTTTATATGTTTTTATATTCAATAACAATATATCTTTGATGGGCGGTAGTAGGAGTATAAGTCAATTTTTTGCAAAAACCTGAAAAGTACACCAATGTAATCTAGAGCTCAAAATACATCTTCTATCAAAAATTCATAGCGCTACGACACTTACAAACCTTTGAAACAAATGCATTTAAATATATTGTTCAAAGCAAAAGTGAACAGTTTTATTAAGTTTTTTTGCTCTAGTGAAAAGTTGATATTTTTGACTTATACTCCTACTACCGCCCATCAAAGATATATTTCAAAGCACTTCTTATGAAGAGTGTAACAAGAGCAATTTTGAAAAATATTTAAAATAATTAGGAAATGTTAGATCTGTTGGATCAGACGTTTTGAAACATTTCCGAAAGTCGTATTACCACAGCTAATATTAAGCGCATAATGAACATCAAAACATTGCTACAAGAAAATGTCCTCATAAATGTTTTCATCATAGCAAATGTTCCTTTTTATAGCGCTTAATGCTAAGCGTAAATTTAATAAGTTAATTTTCATGACCAAGAAAAAATTGAACCATGAACTAACACCAAAAGTATTATTTCATATATATTGTTACATATTTCTCCTGGAGTTAGGCAAAGTTGAATACAAAGATATTCTATCATGAAAAAATTTAGGAAAAAATCGTGTTTCAAAATTTTTTAAAAATTTATAATAAATTGTTATTGTCTGCAAATTTCGGTAAGAATATTTTTGGCGTTTTTACTAGATTTACCAGTATCACAACCGAACTTTTACCAGAATATTAATAATATTCTTAAATTTACTTTATCTGCTTTAAAACTTTAATTCTTGAACAAATTAAGTATTTGAGTTTTTTAAGCACTTTTCCAAAAACTTTTCAAAAAAGTGCTTATTAGTTTCACTCTGTCCGTCCGTCCATCCGCCTGTCCGTCCGTGGACATGTTTACAAAACTTCTAAACCCTTGAAGATGGAAAGCTGAAATTTTATATGAACATAGATCTTTACTAGAAACTTATTTCCGTGGAACAAAATTTTTACCTATCTCCCCTTCTTTAAATATTATACCCCCCTAAGATCGAAAAAACGGCATTTTTTAACTTTTAATTGCAGGGAAAACATAATCATTTCTCAAATTTTGCAATCGCAGAAATATAGTGACTGTATTCTTCCACCACGGCGTCCTATAATTGAACTTAAGGAAAACAAAATGGCCGTTCAAATTTATCGTTTTCTAAAATCCATTTTTTTCAAATTTTTGATGTCGTTTTTCTTCTAGACCACAGGTTATAAAAGTTTGAAATTTTAGAAACTTTTAGATACTAATAAATAGCTCTTTTCTTTTGGTGGAGGTGAAAATTTTCTTGAAGAAAATTTTCACCTCCACCTTC